GGCTTGAGGGCTTTATCAGCTGCATCAGAAACGCTCTCACCATACCCACCTTGGACAGGATCGGGCCCACGGCCCGATTCTTATCGGGTTTGGGGCCGGGCCTCGGTGATGGGCTTCCGGAGGCCCGATGGAGGCTGCAACGGAACGAGCCCGGGTGCGAGGTCGGGGAGCAAAGGCAAGCTCGGGACGCCGATGCGTAGTCTCTTGAAGCCATTGAAAAGTGTTCTGTGTGTGTTTGACGGAAATTGTAAGGTAATAGAATTTTAGAAGACTTAACGGTGGTGGTTTTTATAGTGACGTGTGTACCTTAGTACCTATGTCTTTATATTTATTTATATTTGATTGATATTTGATATATACGACTAATACAATACTCGTGTACCGACACTTACTAAGTAAATTATATTTAAAATTAAATAATAAGATAACAAAAATAATTAAATAACTTGGCGTCCCAATGCCTCGTTTTGGCATCCCAGTCCCTCGATCATGGAGTGCACCTGCCGTGTTTAGCATACTGGTGCCCTAATATCAACTGACGTGGCTGAAACGTCGAGAACTGGATAAAAGAAGAGAAAGATTCTCAAATATCTTCATTAATCAAATTCGATCGTTGAAATACAAGAAAATAAGAGTTTTTATATAAAACTGCTAAAGAGGTCTAATCTTGTCTTACTCTAATTAAAATATATTTCGTACCAAATAAAAGACTAAAATAATTAAATAACTTTACTAACAAATCAAGGACTAAAATACTAACAATAAATAATAAATAAATAATTCAATTAAAGATGATCATATTTATCCTCAGAGCCGGCTCCTTGAGGAGGCAAGCTAGGCTCATGCTTAGGGCCTCCATTTATTTGGGGCCTCAATTTTTTTTTAGTATTATGTATTGGTGTTGGACTTGGCCTATTTATATAAATAAATGGGTGAATGACTAAATATAGACTTGACCCATTACACAAATGAAATAGCTAATGACAAAATATGTATTTTGTGTAGAAATGTGATGCCCTAAATATTTATTTGTTATGTTATAATGTCCGGTCAGAACAAATTGTGCGAAAATAAATATTCTTTGCAGTGATATGATTTTTATTTTCTTCTTCATGTGTTCTTGTGACTGTTCAAATATAATTTATTAAAGATCTTTGTCACCCAAAGTTATTTATCAGTTCCAAAATCTAGAATAAAGGAATTTTTTTTATTTATTTCAATATTTATTAATATAATAGTATGGTATAATTAAGTTCTTTTGTGCTATGATTTTATTTGTAAATAGCCCTAATTACCACGCAAAGACAAAATAAAAAATTAGAAGACAAAAAATTTGTTTAGGGCCTCCAGATTTCTGGAAACAGCCCTGTTTATCTTCTATCTCCTATCATAATGTTATCCAAATACCACTGTGCATGGGTTTAACTCTTGATATCCCAAGAACAAAGCCTAAATTACAAAAACAGATAGGCACTCAAATACGCAAACAATTATTATCAGTAATGTTCCACTACCCACGGTGGACACATGTTAATATGTCCACCGTTTATATGGCATGCACACATTGGTGATGTTAATATATTCAGAAAAATACATCACCAATGTGTGCATGCCACATAAACGGTGTCATATTAACATGTCTCACCGTGGATAGGGGAGCATAATCTCCATTATTATTATTATTATTATTATTATTATTATTATTATTATTAGTATTATTATTATTATTATTATTATTTGTTTTTAGTTTTTTTGTTCTTTTTTTATTTGATCAATTTACAAACCATTAAAAATTCCATCCCACTATGTTCAACTAGCCCAGACTGTATTATTCCAATAATTTCAACTATGTTGGAGCCAGGGAAAATTTAAGAACATAGAAAAACCTCAAAACAAAAATATACTAACACACTCACTCTATATACAGAAGCAAAAATCCAAGTGACAAATGTATTAAAAAAAATTCTTCACTGCGGACAAATTTTAATCTCTCATGGCCCCTTCCACTACTCAGCGGATACCTGAGCTGACGTAGCATGCACGGGCTTCAGGCGTATCTCTCGAACGACAGGCACCCAAGATAGCATCGAGAGAAAGAGTCCAGTCGAGAGAATAAAAAGACCAATGTAAACCCACTGGCTGTCTTCTCTCAAACCAGGGCAATGACGGTCGTAAATGGTGGTGAATGTGTCCCGAAGAAACGTGCAGTCGGCCAAATCGCTCAAGAACGGGCCGTAATGGTGCAGCCCATAGCTCAAGTTCACGGCCCTACTCACCACGTCATACAAGCTAGGGGTTAGGCAGCACTCGTAATTTATATAAGCCTGCATTTATGTAAAATGCATAGCTTTTTTCAAGAGGGATTACAAAAACAGCCCCAGGTTCAGTCTAGTTACAAAAAAGGTACCATTTTTAATTGAGTTGCATTGTTCAAGTCGACTTCGCCAGCTGGACACATCCTTTTATACGTCCTGTCGGGATTGTATGGGTTGCAGAATAGGGGAGCCATCTGCGCGGCATTTGGAAATTTACGGTTGGATACATTGGCAATGATCCCATTTACGAGCTGGACCATTTGGATCGTGACTTCTCTGCTTTGCGAACGTGCTTCTTGGGAAGTGGCGGGGTCCATGCACGGGATGATTTGGTCTAGTGCCGTGTGAGCCGTTGGATTATCGACCCACTCGTGCATTGCCGCACATGTGTCTCCCGTTGCACTTTCTTACATAAAAACAAGAATTGCGATAAATTGGAAATCGACGGGAACAAATAAATAACACGTTCAAACGCCATCAATTATCATGTAGAGAACTTACTTGTGGAGAGCGAGAAATATGCCACTCATAAAGAAAGTGAAGGCAATGAAAATCCAACTGAAGAAGACCAAGCTGCAAAAACAGTATCACACGATTTTTCACGATCAATCAAAATGTCGAGAAGGAAGATGAGCAGTAAAAGATGAAAGCCAAAAGGTAAAGGCAAATATTGTCCTTAGAAACGCACTCACAAGTATATGAGAAAGTGCGGGCCGATAATTGATACAACTGCAACGAAAGAATATGATAAATATCGGAGAATCATAAGAGAAAACTATTTATGCAGCTAATTTTTTTCATAAGACTTACTGGATCCACCATTATTCAGGAAAAGCATTACAAGCGCTACCGCAATAAGAACTCGGCGCCTGCAAATCATAGTAAACCAAACAACATAAAACGCTGAGAAAATTTATTAAGAAAGCCATATCCTTCCCAAAAACAAAAAATAGAACTAAAAGAAAACGTACACAACATCCAAATAGCGGGATATATCATCTTTATTATTCTTGGTTGTACGCTCAAGTGTGGTGGCAGCAGTTGTAATCATACCATTGACATTATCAATGTCGGTTTGAAGCTGTCGAGGCAGAAAAATATGATTGACGCCAACATTCTTGGTAGCCACCAGGCAAGAGGATTTTTTCAAGAACACGAAAAGTACACTAGACTTTGTTTTACAACAAGTGGACTCAACGGTCGAACACCTACAAAATGTGTCGGGTTATCTCACGGCTACCAAGAATGTTGGCGTCAATCATATTTTTCTGCCTCGAAATCTTGAATTTATATTTGGGAAAGACAAGAAAGCAAAAGGGAAAAAGAGGGATAGTATTATACTTACGCTGCTGCAATTGTGAATAACAAAAGAAAGAAAACAGAAAGATTAAGCCCACAAGCGAATTTTGGATAGCCATAGTGTCTGCGCCTACAGCAGCAAACATAGACGCAGAGAAGCAGCAAGAATAGACCCAACAAAATGAACCATAGAATAGCAATAAGGAAAAGGGGATAGCCGGTGTAGAACACAGACTGCATTGAAAACGAAAAATGTTAGATAATGACAAAATAATTGATTTTAGAATGCCAACAATAAAAAATAAAAAATTTACAATAGAGACAAAGCAAGAACACTCTTCATGAAGAAGACATGTTAAGTTTAAATGCTAAGTATCATATAACGGGTGCAGTTCTAACAATTTGCTACGTCCAAATGAAAGAGAGACAAAGAGAAAGAAAAGAAAAGGATACAAGAAAAAACAAAATCAGAATCCGAATTCAAATTATGGAATGAATCCAAATTCACTTACCACAGAAGATTGATCCTTCTGTAAAACAAGAGCCTTCTGTTATGACAGGGTGGCTGGAGAGGTATCTTATGTATGAAAACATATTTTCCAAAAAAATTTCTCCTACTGCTATTTGTGCATGAATGACATTTTTGTTCAATTGATTGCAAAGTTTTGAATTTTTCATTTCTAAATTTGAATGCATATTGTTGAACCAACGAGCGGTGATATGGCTTCAGTACGGTATGCATTCCAGTCCGACTTCAGATAAAAATTTAAAGATTGATCAGCTGATTAGAATCATAAAATACATAAACAAACACAACATGATCAAATTCGGATGATTTAAAAATCTACCTAACTAATGAATAAAAGTTTATATAAAATTAAATATTAGAATTTATTTGAAAAAACAATGAATAAAAGAATAATATATTTAATGTAGAGTAAAATGTAGTGTAAACTAGACACAAAACTAAATATTTAGCTGGAAACATTAATTTCTCTCTTCTTTTCACAAGGATTCAGTGGCACCAAAATGGGATCCATGACCCAAGTTCTAGAAAGCATCCAACCTTGCAAAAATTGTATTTTGATTCTTAAGAAACTGCCGAGAATATTATATAAACTTTTACTAACTCGTGACAAGAATTATCATCAAACGTTTCTTGAGCGTGAAATATCGAGTTGACCAAATGCAAAATTCGAATCGCATTAGGTACCCCCTGATAAGTGAGCCGTTAACCTGCATTATATGGTTGGTTAAAAGAATTTCTAAGAGAAAAATCTGCAGCATAAAAATATATTGATTCAAGTACTCACCAAATAAAGTTGAAGCAAACAATTGTCCCCAACATTCTCGGTGAACTCAAGACTGTTCAATGGCGTCAATGCCTCGTCGGGCTCAATGAAGGCTGAGTTATCATTCATCTGAGTGAAACGTCCTGGTAGAACCACATATATCTTTAGTTTAGGAGGGGAATACTTTCACGTATCAATTAAAAGAGTATGAGACTTTAGTTTAGGAGGGGAATACTTTCACGTATCAATTAAAAGAGTATGAGATATGACGTGTAGATTTACTTGGACACCTCCACCTCCATACTAATGAAAAATCAACAAATCATCTATGTCAGTGGAGTCAACAGTTAAGTGAAGTCTTCATTGGTTAATTGATCAGGCAACGTAGGAGGACTGCTTTGATCTTCACTCAGTAATGGAGTTGTAGATGGACCAGCAGCTGCAACTCAATAACAAAAGGCTCTTGTTTTATATCAGTTGAGGTCAATGTCTACAGATTCTCTCATTGGGATCTTCCAGGTGTCACTTTTATTAAATTTATGACTTTTCATTTTTTTGATACTTTGTCTTGTTCATTGCAGACCGGTCTTGTTTGAAAAGTAAGGATTTACAATGGTTCTTTTTCTGTCGAAGAGAGAAGTTCCCAGGTGGATCTAGAGTGAAGCGTTCTACTGTAAAAGCGTGCTGTAATTGGTGCAGCTGCTGGTCCATCTACAACTCCATTACTGAGTGAAGATCAAATCAGTCCTCCTACCTTACCTGATCAATTAACCAATGAAGACTTCACTGAACTGTTGAATCCACTGACAGATGATGATTTGTTGATGTTTCATGAGTATGGAGGTGGAGGTGCCCAGGTAAATCTAACGTCATATCTCATACTCTTTTAATTTGATATGTGAAAGTATTCTCCTCTTAAACTAAAGATATATGTGGTTCTATCAGGACGTTTCATTCCAGAAGAATGATAACTCGGCATTCATTGAGCCTGAAGAGGCATTGTCGCCATTGAACAGTCTTGAGTTCACCGAGAATGTTGGGGACAATTGTTTGCTTCAACTCCATTTGGTGAGTACTTGAATCATTATATTTTTATGCTGCAGATTTTTCTCTTAGAAATTCTTTTGACCAACCATATAATGCAGGTTAGCAACTCACATTATCAAGGAGTACCTAATGCGATTTGGATTTTGCATTTGGTCAACTCGATAGTTCACGCTCAAGAAACGTTTGATGATAATTGTTGTCACGAGTTAGTAAAAGTTTATACAATATGCTCGGCAGTTTCTTAAGAATCAAATACGATTTTTGCAAGGTTGTTGGATGCTTTCTGGAACTTGGGTCATGGATTTCATTTTGGTGCTACTAAATCCAGGTGAAAAGAAGAGAGAAATTAATGTTTCCAGCCAAATATTTAGTTTTGTCTCTAGTTTACACTACATTTTACTCTACATGAAATATATAAGCTTTTATTCATTTGTTTTTTTCAAATAAATTCTAATATGTATGTATATTTAATTTTATATAAATTTTTTATTCATGTGTTAGGTAGATTTTTAAGTCATCCGAATTTTAATCATGTTGTGTTTGTTTATGTGTTTTATGATTTTAATCATCTGGTCAATCTTTAAATTTTTATTTGAAGTCGGACTGGAATGTATCACCGTATGAAGCCATATCACCGCTCGTTGGGTCAACAATATGCATTCAAAATTAGAAATGAAAAAACAAAACTTTGCAATCAATTGAACAAAAATGTCATTCATGCGCAAATAGCAGTAGGAGAATTTTTTGACAAATATGTTTTCATACATAAGATACCTCTCCAGCCATCCTGTCATAACAGAAGGCTCTTGTTTTTTTTGGAAAAAAACTCCATAACACAATGTCATAACAGAATTAGTTGAATAACTTGGTAATATGTCTCAGTTGGGTGATTATAACCGATCACACTTAAAACGCTTTTTGTCTTTGGACCAGTTAATTTGAAGTACTTAAAAGATTTAGCAAGCATAGTTGTAGGTCCAAAAGATTTTGAAGAATTTTGTAAAGACCTTTGATTCTCTTTTTGCAACAATAATGAACAGACTTTCGAGAGAGAAGGCGAAGTGATGACAACAAGAAATTACTTCTTCAAGCAGTGTAAGAATCGTTAAGACCAATCAGAAATGTCATGACAGAGTCATTTTGTTGAGCAAAGGTGTATGAGTGGTATGTTACACGAACTCTTCTATTTAGGAAGAATGCCCGTGTCATGTTGTGTCGACACTGGTGTGGGTATGAGTATTGGGTGTGGCATTTTAGCCTAAAATGTTCAAGAATTCTAAACTATTGACGAGTCGGACGCTCATATCTCCACACCCGATACGCCACCCATATCCGACTCCAGGTAGAATAGTGAGTGTTACGATATTAATGCGATCATAATCCCAAGAACACCTAAATAGATATCAATTCATATTATTCATAATCAACCACCTCAAACAATAGATGAAGAGTCCTTCAAATAAGGCTCTCATAAACCATACTCCTTGTCCACCAAGCCAATATAAATAAAAATACTTAATAACAATAATTAATACTAATAATAATTATTATTAGTATTCTACATCATTCTCCCCCAGTTCGGAAGGCTTTGCCCTCGAAGCCGACGTGCTTCCATGACTGGTGTGTGAAGGCGAACCAATGGTTTTAATCCTCGCCGTTTCCCCTATCGAACACGGCGGTTGAACGACACTGTGATCTACCTTCGCTAACCACAAAATTCTCGGCTCCTCATCTTGAGTTATCCGGCCAAACAAATACTTCGGAACCACAATCCAATAAATAGTAGTTTTTATTTCCAAGAATTAATTCGGAAGTTCACCATCGTCAACAATGGCAACATCACACGCTCCGTCATGAAACTGCTTCAACATATATAACCGTGAATCAAACTCTTCTTCTTTAGGTTTCTTGAATCCATATGCAATACCACCGTCAAGGGTTATGAAACATGGTTTAAAATATAACAAAAATTTGTCAAACTCGTGTCCTTGGAATTCTCTATACTGCACATCACGACCGCCGAAAATCGCATCGAGTTCAACGGTTTTGATAGCAGCAGTTTTAACTTCATCCTCTAGCCCCGGAGGCTCCTCATCGAAAATCGGCCGACCGTCGTACAACAACCCATCATCTTACTCTTCATCAAATCAGGGATGTAAACGCGAAACGAGCCCTCCCGTCGACCATATTCGCGATCAAATTCCCAATCGCGTCGGGCACGATATCCACCAGCGAAGGCTGCCTCATCGCGCCAGCCCTTATCGCTACGTTGAACGTCGCCGTCCGCAAAGACCGGTCACGACCTCCGTACGCAGCGAAGGGCTCAGCCTCAACGTGCTGAGGTTGATAATCGTCGAAGGGGTTCACCTCCGAGATTATCAGCGTAATTTCGTATATGTTTTTTTCTTTAGAAATCTCAACAAATCTCAAAAAGTCTTAACAAATTTTAGCTTAAAATAAATTAAGTACTTCATCATTTTGTAAGACTTTTTAAAATCTCAAATGAATACTAAGTCTTTTAAAATTCTTAAAAAGCCAAGTCTTAAGAATTCTCAAATGAATACATCGTCCTAAGAACAACTTTAACCATATAAGGTTTCTAAACCTTCTTTTTACTTTCTCGATACTCCACATCCTTCAAACCTCATTTTTACTCCCAATATCACAACACTCCAATAATCATAAATCCTCACAAGCCTTCTAATGGGCCTCGCATGTTTTTCACATATTTTAATATATATCAATTTAATTCATATTTACAAAATACTTTACTCATTATTTTTCACAATGACATATTTATTATATATCATAATAAATATCTATATATATATAATAGCTGACAAGCTTCAATAAATTTTATTCAGACATCAATTAATAAAAATAGGACTTCATTTAATAAAAATATTTATGATTGGCATTCAAATGACAGTCACACAAGCAAAACCTTATTATTGTTTGTTATTTTGTAACTTTTCAAGAATTTAAATTTTCTAAGTATATAATACTAAATTATTTTCCAGCTAATATTTCTACTTTGTATTATAGTTCTACAATGAAAAAAACAAAAACGAAAACAAAAAAGCAAAAAACTGATTTATATAAAAGTTAAATAATTTATATTTCTATTATACCTTTGCATATAGTACAAACTTTAAAATATAACACACTTTATTTAAAGTTTTAAATATCATATACGTACGTATAACATATAATTTTTTGTTTCCCTCTGCGCATGTGCACAAGATTCAATACTAGTATTTTAAGTACAATTAAACTTTCAAAAAAAGAAAATCTAATAAGAGAATTTACTACACATAAATCTTACAATAATAAATATATTTTACTTATACATATGTCATTTTAATTTTCAATAATTTAATGAAAATTTTGAAATGTGATGTGGATCATATTGTAGATTACAAATTTGACTAATAAATGGGAGAGCTATTAAATGTGAGGTGTTTCAAATTTAAACCTCACCACTACCCATTTTATGAAAATGCTACGGTCCGTAACGGAACCATTCTGTCAGGATTTATAACCATTAGATCATCATGTAACCGTTGGGGATAGTTGATCTAACGGTTACAAACCCCGACGGAATTGGTTCCGTAACAAGACCGTAGCATCACCCACCCATTTTTAATAGTAAAAGCTAATGAGGGCGCCATTTTAAAACCTCATCAAAATTGCCCATGAAAGGTGCTCTTAAAAGAATACAGAGAAGAATGAAAAACTTACAGCAATGTAATGTTGATTACTGATATTCCAACCTCCGTTGTAATAACGGCGATTCTTGAGTGAGTCACTCGAGTTCGAAGCTTTCAAGACAGTCCTCTGAGTTCCTCTGGGAACGACGCCGTTTTGGGCCGCTCCTGCTAAGAGGAAAAAGAGTCACTTGCAAACAAGAAATCATATCTGTGGCGCGTACCTTCGCTTGGCGTGTATCGGGACACTGTATCATGTCCCGAGTTCGAGTCATAATTGGGGAACTAGTAAAAAAAAAAAACCCACCAATTGATGTAAAACAGAGAGGACTCACCTGACAACGCACAGGGCGAGAAGAACACAAGGATTAACGTTGTCAGAATCAGAAAGGAAGAAACTTTATCCTTGAAACACAACATTCTTCGATTTTTTTTGCCAATTTAATCATTTTTTTTAGCCCCCAAAAGAAAAAATAAAAAAATAAAATACAACCTGGGCCCTTTTACTGTGGAGGTATGAGACTGATGTATACATAACAAATCCCGGATAATGTGCCGCTTTTGGGATTGGGGATAGGGAAAGTTTTGTTGAATTAGATTTATCTATGACGTGCACGGTAAAAAATATTCACTAATATAGATAAATTAAAAATAGTCAATAGAAAATATTATAAATTAAAAGTATGAAATCAATATGTAATAAAATTTACCTATTTTATTGTATTGAAAATTATATATGAAATTTAAATTGTGCAAAGTACATATAACACGTTTATTTAAAATAAAAAGCAATTAGTATTAATACTCATGTACAATATGGGTGTTAAAGTTATATATGTGTAAAGTTATTTATGTCCAATACTAAACCTAACTCTAGAGCAAAAATAATATAAAAACAATATCACGAATCATAAATTTTCACCATGTCAGCATTCGAAGCGTGAGAATCTGCCACATAGGCTCAACACGTTTTGAATTAATATATAGGGAAGGATTGCATGGTTCAAAAAAGGGGACCAGACGGGCCTGTCCGATCGGTTGGACCAAGAACTGGTCTAATTGGCTAGAATAAATCGGTTATCAACAAACTAGTTAGACCAACCAAAAACACGTCTGATTGATCGGTCCAATTTTTTTTTAACAAAAAAATAAAATTTAATATATTTAAAAAAAATTGTAATATAAGTAAAAATTACATATTTCAATATGATGGATATATATGTTATTATTAGTTACTTTAAGTAGTGAATGTTTTAAATTAGCTTAATATTTGATTACAAAGTTTTTTTTATTTAAGTTTTATTATAAACAATATTATATTTATATAAGCTTAAAGATATTAATAAATTAAATACAGGTTCAACTACTGGTCAGACCAATGAACCATTAAACCAGTAGTTTGATCGGTTCTATGATCGGTCCTATTTTCGGAACCTTATTCTAAAGTAGCTAATGAAAATGGATGGAATAGAAAGTCCATGTACTCACAAATCACAATAAACCCAT